TAATGCCTTCTTATCCCAACGTTACTTTGTTTCTTTGCTACATTAGCGAACACTCGTCCCTAAACCAGATAACATTAAACATAATCTAAAAAATCATGTGTCAATTCACGAGTTTGCTCACAGAGCACTTTGATTTCTTGATGATAACAAACTTCTACCTTCAACATTATACACAAACAGGCGTTTCATAACAGAACTTATGCCGCTTTATCCATTTTAAACAAAGGGAAGCTCTCCTCTAGTGAAACTAGCTCTTGCTAAAGTTTTCTTTAACGTGAGGCTTCATGCGTCCTTAAGCGTATTGTGGTGTTAGTTAGTTTCAATCTGTCCCTTGAAACAAATTAGCCTTACAGTTTTCAAGACTGCCTTTCGGAGCTCGCGGTGTCGCCAGCAATACAAGACTGGATTGATTGAAGAGTTCAAAAATGCTACGGTTACTGGAAAGGTCCATCGAAATCTATATTTTATTTGTGGAATACCTGATGTTAAATATGCAGAAAACAAAGGGGTGTAGCACGTAATCATCACAATGTAGTAGATAAAAATGTTTTTGGCACCTTTCGCGGATCTCGTCACCCTCTGATTATTTTCTAAGGCTTCATTCAATCTTTCTACCGCCTGTTGCTGAATGTTGATCTGCAACTGATGCTTATGAACAATTCTGTAAATTTTGATGAAACAAACGCTGCAAACTGAAAGGCATATTGAAATGGAAACGGTTGCAGCGAAGTAATACATTTTCTTTGACCGAGTTGATAACAAGGAGATCAGCACGTGAATGGACCAAAGAGTGGCTGAAGTGCACAAGGCTCGACGTGTTGTCACAAAATCTGGATATCGCATATGATAATGAAGAGACAACACTCGGTCAACGGCTAAAGCTGTTATTGTCGAAAGAGAGGTTCCACAAACAGAAAACCCCATGACATGAGTTGCTCGACCAAGATGATTGTTTCCTGTTGTATACGTGTAAGCCAAAATGTAAATCGGTTGAGCGAAAAGGGCAACAAAAAGGTCTGAAACAGCCAAATTACCGAGGAAAATCATGGATGGCGAACGGAACGATGGAGTCCTCAATATGGTGGCAAGAACCAAAACGTTGCCAATGATGGATACGAGCATCAGAGGAGCGTTAAGGATACAGTTTGCGATTTCAATGGTCCCTAATCCGGAACTATTCTCCTGGTTGCGGGACTGGTTAGTTCCAAAGTTACTTGCAATTGCTATCATGGCGGAGATGA